TTTTTTTTTGGTTGGTAGGTTATTAATTACTGCCTCAATTTCAGAACTTGTTATTGGAGACCTCTTCTTTTTCAATGCATTTTGAATTCAGGACTAATCCCAAATCAAATGCCAATATCAGTGTATAAGTATTCTTTTTTCTTTTGTCAGCTTGCAGGTCTGAATGAGGGCAATTTACTTTGTCATCTGAACTTATTTAAGTCTAGCTTTACCTAGACTTGCTATCACAAAGTCAGTGACAGCATATCCTACTAGTCAATTTTTACTTTTTGTTCGTTTGTTTGTTTTTTCAGTCTGAACCAACAACAAGCAAAGTTAAATTATGGATATCCAAGGGAGTCTATAGAAGGTCCATGCAAGGTATGGAGAGTTCCTCAACAGAGGTAATCAATCATCAGCTTCTTTTTCTACAGATGAAGGAGAGAGGGTCACTGGGTTTAGAGTGTTACAGTGATGAACAGTGATATTTGAAGGGAAACTAACAATTTCCTCAGAGATTAAGTGACTAGCTGAAAAATCTTGAGTCATATCTATCAATAAAACAGGGGAATTATTAGGTTTAGTGTAGACCCTAGAACTAGTTTGACTGAGTCACTCCAGCTTCCACAAGCATTGCTGCAGCTGCTAGAACTCTTAGACAAGACAATTATGCTGTGACTACTGGAGCTAATGAAAGACTGAAATAAATAATAGATTTTTGATGAGTCCCATGTCATTGAGTCAAAGCCCCTAGTGTTTTTTCAGACTTCTCATGACAAAAAAGTAAAGTGGGGTTGCTAATTGAGAATCTTGGAAAAAGATATTTTGATACACAGTTATTACAGTAATCTTTGTGCTTAAATATGAGCATTCTTTTTTTAACTCAAAAAAGGGTACAGTCCTTAAAAGATATTTATATTAGCATATTTTACTTAAATATAATTAACTTAGAAAAAATAAAAATATTTTTATCAGCTTTTATTAGTAAGTTTGGTAAATAAAAGAGCTCTCATAATAATTTTAAATTAATTTAAATTCAAAGGATATTTGAAAATCTAATTATTCCCATTGTCTTTCCTTTCATAGAATGACAAAACAAATCTTGTGTTACCTAATAGCCATTACAGTAAAACCAAAGATAGTGTAGGCACAAAAGACATATTAATAGCTTGATATTCTGAATTTGGGGCCTGAATTTTGGAAGGAATCAAGAATAGTTGTTCCAGGAGACAAGATGTAAGTCATAAGTATCTAGGGTCCATAAATAATAGACGACATTGTAAAAACACATAGCAATTAACAGTAGTCATTAGAAACAACATTTTATTAAAGCAAGGAGTCTTTTTAAAAATGATTTAAAAGTGTCAAAAAGCATTGAAAGTTAACAGAATATTTTATTAACAAAAAGAAATATTTACTAATATGGGCATAGCATAACTTAATTTTTGTATATTAAAAAGATTCCAATTCTAACTTTACTCTTTTTATACATCATTCATGTAACATTCTACAGTAGAGAATTTATTAATGTGCCTTTACATGTATAAATTTAGGCATACACAGATATGTAAATATACAAATAGATAATACGCTTTAAATTTTACATTTTAACTATAGTTTTAAAATTAAATCTATTAGATAAAATAATATATATGTCAAAATAAAATTTACCCTCTGAATAAATGGTTTCAACTTTCCTAATAAACAGAAAATCAGCAGGATATTTATTATCCTGTATACATATTTGTGTTTCTCTGTATTAAGCATTTATATTAATTATCATCTTTAACCAAAGTAATCAACTTTCCTTTTCTTTAGGCACAAAAGAAAAAGGAGAGAAAACATAACTTACTTAGATATTTTTTTGGTCTACTAGTATTTATTGCATACAATTTAAACAGTTTCAATATGTAAATATATGATGTCATTCAAAGGAATTTGCATATTTTGTTAATCTATTGTCATTTTAAGAAGTAAAGGTAATTGTATTTAATGACTAGTGTTTTTATGTTTCTTATTTAGAAATTGTCTAGGCATCCAAAGGATTATTATCAATTAACCATTTGTCTAAGTCCTTAAAGTTTGTTAAGGATCAGGAAATTACAATTTTAGTTAACAAATGAAATCTTATGATTTGTAGCATTGTAAGAATTTTATAAAAATTATAAAGGCATTTATTATTATCATTCACTTTAGTTTAATACAATTTTATATATATTAAACTAAAATTCTAAATTTAGACAAGTTATAGAAATAGTGGAATCTTGTTGAACTCATACAACCAATGTAGAAAATTCAGTTTAATAAAAAAAATTTAACTCAGGCCTTGTAGAAACCAAAATATTGCAGTGACACTAGTTTTTGTATTAAAGTAATTTTTTGAAGACTCTGAATCATGTCAAACATGTAATCTTTTAACTTATATATAATGCCTGTTCTTCTTTTCTCATAATTATAATAAAGGCTACTATGTAAATATACTGTTAGTGTCCACAGAAAGAAATGCAGTTTAATAACATTTTTTCCCTTTTTTTTTTCCAGACATTTTGACTATTTATCTGAACTAGAGATCCCTTGAATGTGCACACAAAAAGTGAATGGCTCATTTGATAAGGTAAAGATTAATTTCTGAAGAGGGGGAAAAGAGAAAGAGAGGAGGGGGAATAGAGGGAAAAAAAGAAAGTAAAGGGAATCTGCTGCAGATGAATATGAAATCAACACCCAAAAAAAGGCTAATTATGTTCCCTCTGAAAAGAGAGGGAGGAAGGTTTTTATGAAAAAGAATAGATTTTGAAATAAAAAAAGAGTGACATTAAAATTGGTTTAAGCCCTTGGCAATTTTATAAATTAACCAGCACTTATTAATTCCTAAAGTATGGAAATAAAAGAAGGGGCTATCACCAACTTTGAACAAAAGAATCACTGTTAGTCAAACAGAACAATCTTCTCTTGAAGATTTCTTCACTTTTCTAAAGTGCCTCTAAAGTAAACCATCGTGTTTGTATTCAAAGTTCCTCAGCGTGGCCATTGCGATTCCAGATTGTCCTTGGTGAAACTGTGCCCGCTGTAGAGATAAACATGCACGTTTGTGTTACAGTGCGGAAATCTGAAAGAAACAGGTATCTGGAAGAAGTGCAGTTTTAGATTGAGTGGAGCCCATCAGAGGTGAACTTGTCTGACCTTGATTCTCCGATCTTGAGTCTCCAGAATTTGGGCAAAAGTCAATTGTCTACAATGAGGGCTGAGAAACGAAAAAAAGATAAGACAGAGGAAGTCCTTACAAGTTTTTAAATGGTGACCTGACACAAAGTTTATCCAAAGGCCAAAGTTTGTCCAAAGCATGTGAGTCCTGAATTCTCAGTCCCTGGAGCCAGAGGACAGACTTATGGGGACTTGGCTTGTCCTTGCCTTATGGGCTTTTCCTTGTATAAACGAACAACACTCAGGACAATAGACAAATCATAGAACAGATGTTAGAGGCTAGAAAACAATATTTCTGACTGACTAGATTTGCAACAAGTTTTACAGACTAGAAAGACTCTGAGGATCTATTCCTAGGAAAACAAAATAAACACATTGTTGACAGTTCTCAACAAAATATCAGAGCCTAGCCATGAACAGGGTCCCACATGTATGCATCATTACTGAGTCAAGGGTACTTGCTTAAGGCAGCAAGGACTTCAGAAGAATCTCATGACACTCCATTTTTGTCAGTCCTTCAGAGCCCAAGACCACCAAAAACACTCCTGTAATGGAACAAGTTGGCTTTATTACTAATAGCAACAAAGCTTTTGAAAGTCTTCTCTCATCTTCCTGAGGAATCACCTCTCCAGGTGTACAGAGACAGTGTGGGTAGGTTGTCAGGAAAGGGAGAGGAAGGAGAGCTTCCCTAAGTGAAAACCTAAGTGTTTTCCTAAACACAAGCACCACTGAGCAGTTTGTAGATGGAATTTTGCAATCAAAATTGCAGGGTATTCTGTTCAAGCCACACCTTTTTTTTCCTCCATTTTGAGATAATTAAAAATTCCCATGCAGATGTAAAAAAAAACAGAAAAATCTCTTGTATCCTTTCCCCCAATGGTAACATCTTGCAAGACCATGGTATATCAGAACTCGGCTTTGTTTGTGTGTGTGTGTGTGTGTGTGTGTGTGTGTGTGTGTGTATGTGTGTGTGTCAGAGTCTCACTCCATCAACCAGGCCGGAGTGCAACTGTGTGATCACAGTTCACTTAGCCTTGATCTCCTGGGCTCAAGTGATCCTCTCATCTCAGCCTCCTGAGGAGCTGGGACTGCAGGCATGCACCACCACACCTGGCTAATCTGTTTCATTTTCTTTCCTTTCTTTTCTTCCTTCCTTCCTTC